GAAGACATCGACTTCTGAGGGAAAACACGGCATACAATGGACAGCTCAGAACCAATTAGACTATTTGGACTGCGCAGATGACCTAGCTCTCCCATCGCATACACACGAAGAAATGCATATGAAAACAACTAGTGCAGCAGTAACCTCTGCATCAGTAGGCCTCAACATACACAAGGGGAAAACCAAGGTCCTCAAATACAACACAGAGAACACCCAATCACAATTACTTGAGAAACCCTGGAAGATGTAGGATCCTTCACGTACATGGGAAGCATCATCGATGAATAAGGAGGATCTGATGCAGACGTAAAAGCAAGGATTGGCAAATTAAGGGCCACATTCCTACAAACTTAAACCAACTGTCAACCAATGTCAAAGTCAGAATCTTCAATACGAACGTCAAGATATTTCTATTGTAAAGAGCTGAAATTTGGAGAACTACTTCAACTGTCATCAAAAACGTACAAGTATTTATAGACAGTTGTCTACGCAAGATACTCAATATCCGTTTGCCGGATGCCATCAGCAACAGTCTACTGTGAGAGAGGACAAACCAACTTCCAGCTAAGGAGGAAATTAGGAAAAGACGTTGGAAGTAGATAGGACATTACGTAAATCACCAAACTGCATCTCGAGGCAATCCTAACTTGTAATCCTGAAGGGAAGCGGAAAATAGGAAGGCCAAAGAACACGTTACGTCGGGAAATAGAAGCAGATATTGAAAGGATGAATAACAACTGGGAAGAGCTGGAAAGGATTGCCCAGGACAGGGTTGGATGGAGTGCTGATGGGCGGCCTATGCCCCTCTACGAAGAGTAACAGGCGTAAGTAAGTAAGTAAGTCAATCCAGGAGATTGGATCGATGGGAAGAACACTTTATGAATCAGTTCAACTGGCCTTCAGCCACACTTCGGTTTCCCACGATCTCCAGTCAACCTGAATGGCGAGTTGATGAAAATCTACCAACTCTTTACGAAATTAAAAAAGCTATAGGAAATCTGAAGCGAGGGAGAGCAGCAGGCCTTGACAAGTTTACTCCTGAGATTTTTAAGGATGGTGGTCCAGTATTAGCAGTGAGATTAACTGAGGTCTTAGGTAGAATTTGGGAACTGGACGTAATCCCATCTGACTGGTCTCAATCACTGATTGTGCCAGTCTATAAGAAAGAACAAAAGTCCTCTTTTGACAATCACGGAGGAATCAGTTTGACTAATATAGTGTCTAAAATACCAGCTTCAATAGTACTTTGACGCCTAACCGAGGCTCGTAAAGAGCAGACTAGAGAAAATCAGGCTGGTTTTCGACCTGGACGTGGTTGTATAGACCAGATATTCGCACTACGTCAGGTTCTAGAACACAGGCACACATTCAGAAGCCCCACAATGATAGTATTTCTCGACCTCAAGGCAGCATCCGACTCTGTTGATCGTGAGGTTCTATGGCAGTGTTCGTCACTGAAAGGAGTACCAAAGAAGTACATTAACCTTGTAAAGGCTCTCTACTCGAACACAACTGGCCGAGCGAGGGCTTATGGCGAACTGTCATCAGAATTGATTACCTCAAGTGGTGTTCGTCAGGGCTGTCCACTCTCTCCGTTCTTGTTCAACTTTGTCGTTGACGTGCCTTTAAAGATAACACTTTCCGCATCTGACTTTCCAGGGGTTGAACTTCTACCGAGAGATCCACTTGTTGACTTGGAATATGCCGATGACATAGTTCTGTTTGGTGAAGACGCTGACAAAATGACGAGTCTTCTGACCACTGTAAGCAACAATGCAAGCATGTTTGGGATGCGATTCTCCCCTTCGAAATGCAAAATGTTGCTTCAGGATTGGGTTCCATCGACACCCGAACTAATGATAGGGAGTGAAGTAGTTGAGCGTGTCGACTGCTTCACTTATCTTGGGAGTCTGATCAGCCTTTGTGGTCCGAAAGAAGCATCATCTTAAGGAATGGATCTCTATGGAAACCCTGCGCAAAATTCAGGAAGACAGCAATTAACAACAGCCGAACAAAAACAGAGAAAGTCAGGGCACAAGATGAATACACCGAAGCAAACAAGCAAGTAAAGAAGAGCATTAGAGCCGACAAGAAGAAATACATGGAAGACCTAGCAGTGACAGCGGAAAAAGCTGCAAGAGAAGAATATATGAAACAACTATACGACGCTGTGGAGAAACTAGCATGAAGACATAATAAACCAGAGAGGACGGTCAAGGACAAAGAAGGTAGGCCAATCACTGAGATTCAAGAATGGAGGAACAGATGGTTAGAGTATTTTGAAGAACTCTTGAATAGACCAGCTCCATTTAATCCCTCGAACTTTGAAACAGCACACACAGACCTTCTTATAGATGTCACTCCACCAACAACCGAAGAAATCAGGATAGCCATCGGGCAAATTAAGAGCGGGAAAGCATCAGGACCTGACAATATACCAGCCGAAGCACTGAAGTCAGACGTCGACGTAACTACATACATGATTCACCTTCTATTCAAAAAGATTTGGGAGGAGGGACAAGTGCTGATGGACTGGAAAGAAGGACACCTCATCAAGATTCCAATGAAAGGTCTGAGCAAGTGTGAAAACTACGGAGGCATTACACTACTGTCAGTACCAGGGAAAGTCTTCAACAGAACGTTGCAGAACCAGATGAAAGATGCAGTAGACGCCCAACTTCGAGATCAACAAGCTGGATTCCTTAAGGATTGATCGTGTACAGATCAAATTGCGACACTACGGATCATCGTTGAACAATCAATTGAGTGGAATTTGTCACCAAACATTTGACAGTGTGGATAGGAGAACCTTATGGAAACACCTTCGACAATACGGAGTTCATGAGAAGATTGTCAACATTATCCGGAACTCATACGACGGACTACAGTGCAAAGTGGTGCATGGAGGACAGCTGATAGATGCATTCCAAGAAAGGAGCGGAGTCCGACAATGCTCCCTTCCTCTTCTGGTGGTCGACTGGATTATGAAGACATCGACTTCTGAGGGAAAACACGGCATACAATGGACAGCTCAGAACCAATTAGACTATTTGGACTGCGCAGATGACCTAGCTCTCCCATCGCATACACACGAAGAAATGCATATGAAAACAACTAGTGCAGCAGTAACCTCTGCATCAGTAGGCCTCAACATACACAAGGGGAAAACCAAGGTCCTCAAATACAACACAGAGAACACCCAATCACAATTACTTGAGAAACCCTGGAAGATGTAGGATCCTTCACGTACATGGGAAGCATCATCGATGAATAAGGAGGATCTGATGCAGACGTAAAAGCAAGGATTGGCAAATTAAGGGCCACATTCCTACAAACTTAAACCAACTGTCAACCAATGTCAAAGTCAGAATCTTCAATACTGTAAGCAACAACGCAAGCATGTTTGGGATGCGATTCTCCCCTTCGAAATGCAAAATGTTGCTTCGGGATTGGGTTCCATCGACACCCGAACTAATGATAGGGAGTGAAGTAGTTGAGCGTGTCGACTGCTTCACTTATCTTGGGAGTCTGATCAGCCTTTGTGGTCTGGTGTGTGACGGAATCTCAGCACGGATACAGAAGGCTCAACTAGCTTTTGCCAACATGCGTCATTTATGGCGTAAGCGAGATATCTGTCTATCAACCAAAGGACGCGTTTACTGCGAAGCAGTTCGTTTCATCCTACTTTATGGCAGTGAAACATGGTCGGTAAGAGTAGAAGACATTCGTAGGTTACTTGTATTCGATCATAGATGTCTTCGAAATATTGCTCGTATATCGTGGGACCATCGAGTAAGTAACTCGGTTGTTAGGAAACGGGTACTAGATAAGGATGTCAAATCAATCGATGAAGTAATGAAACTTCATCAGTTGAGATGGATGGGACACGTGTTACGTGTGTCCAACCACCGACTGCCTGGACGTGCGATGCTCAACGGTATAGGAGTAGGTTGGAAGAAAGCTAGGGGCGGCCAGACCAAAACATGGCACAAATCCATGAAGTCACTGACAAGTGGACTGAGCCATGTTGGTAGGTGTAGACTACCTGGTTGCGGACCGCGAGATGATAGCGACCGATGGTTAGAGACCCAGAATGACATGGCTCAAAATCGTTTGCAATGGCGCAGGTGCATCTACTCTTTGTGTTCTCCCAAATTCTAGTCTGAATTCTTCATGTCCTTTATTTTCTTTCCAAATTTGTTTCACTGGATTATACTCCTTGAATAAAATCTCCGAACCCTAATCTTTCCGATTACTGCTTATACTCTTACTACCTCTACCACTAGGGGATTTGAATCGATAACTGCATCTCTGTGCTAATGTAGTATGGCAACTCGAACTGATGTACGTACGTACGAAGTTCTACGTTGTTGCTCACTGACTGATTGGACGGCCAATGCCACAAGGTGGGACCAATTGTAAACGAATGAAACAATTAGCTACACTTTCGTTTGAATATGGAGAACAGATAATGATAGGGATACAGATGTTAGGGGATACATTAAAGGATGAAGTAAGGGGACAAGGAGTTGGATTATAACACAATGTTGAAAACTTAAGAAAACTGTGGGCATTTAGGCTGGTTTTAGAGAAAATTTCCTTTAATATACCAGCAGCCGTTTATATTGCATGGATGACAACCAGGACTGCCTTAAATTCCCGAAGGAGTACGTAGTCAAAGGATATCAAGTTGCTGTGGATATCAGAGATGCAAACCGTGGACAAAAATCGGTAATTAAGATCAAAATTGTATGTTTTCTCCGGCGAAGCATTAGTCAAGGAAAATGTTTAAACTGCGTTTACTTGATAAGGTAACTAACGAAACAACCACTTTTATTACTATAATAGGCAGAAGCGGTTATCAGATTGAATCTTACGATTGTCTGATTCCTTAGTTTAAATTTATTGAAACTCCCAGAAACGATCTTAGTGAGTCGATAATCGCTTTTGAAGAACCATCACTTAACAAACTTGAAAAAATAAAGCGTACGAGAACTCACCATAACATTGTCCTTGTACGACAAGCTGGGTGAAAGACCATCGAATTCCACTTAGGAATGACGCTGCGAGAACAAGAAGGAATCCTATGTAATTGAACTGTGTAGACTCATATGAAAACATAAAAAGCCCACAGGTAATCAGAACGACAATGATGGCTAAGGATGGTTGCTAAAAGTTTATTTGAATCACACCAACCTACCTTTTTCTCCTGTTTTAGTAAAACAGAAAACATCACAATAAAAATGACGCTGGTAGATTTTGTCATTGTGTACCTGAGTTTTTAAGATTATCGTTTGCAAAAGAACATACAATGATACTGTAATGAACTCAAAACTCCAATTTGAACAACCAATATCTAGGGCACTTGTTAACAAAATATTTACAAGCATTTAAATTGTACCTAGAGATCCCAGAGACAGCAACAACCCTCACGTACTTCGCCCATGGAAGCTCTATTCTTGGACAGTTATACAACCACGATAGTGCACACCTTACGAACCATGACAATAAGAATTTAATGATCATGTGCAGTAAAGTGATTGAGAGTGGATATGGGAACACCTAACTTTTAAAATTATCCGATGAAATTTTGCAAACTTTTATACAACGGCTGTTGAAAAATGTTAGGCATATTGAGAAACAATAGAACATAAACACTGTACAAAGAGTTTTCAGTGGGTTAGGCATCATAGAACGTGTATGATTGCTAAAAATTAATATTTCACTGGTAATTTTCAGAAGTTTCAGCTACTTGAAAGATTTTAGGCCGTGGTGTTAGCAGAATTGTAAGAAAACTGTTTGATAGGTAAACGGTCAGCAACTGAAGTGGTCTTATGATCACAGGTAAACAATCTACAAGGAAGTAAACAACAGAACTAGCAAGGGTTGGACGTCAATAAGACTGGATTTGCTTACACTCAAAACCTAAACTGGGAAACATACAAGGCAACGCTTTAGGGGTATTGTCCACCAATGAAGGTTGCGAGCACTTGAAGGTCAAACTGTCGCAAGATGACTGGTGCGTCACATCGACAGTTCGTGAAAATTTTCAGAAGCGGTCAAATCAAGACATTTTTAGATTTGAGAAGCATTCAAAAGTAGCGGCAAAGATTAACCGGTCGACATGGACGTGTCCTAGTTGAGGTATATCACATGTTGTCATGTAAACTCTACACAATGCACTTTTATATCCTCTCGAAAGTTGAAGGGGGAAATTCAAAGAATCATTTGTAATATGCTGCACAACTTATCCCAAGAATTTACACAATTTGACAATTTTTTTCCTGCTATATGTTCAGCTGCGTTATGTTACATGTGTGAAGTTAACTTGCTAACGATACTGATGATGTCACAGGTGTTCAGTGTTTGACAACGCTTCTACCAGTAACACCTAATATATTTCGTTCCCACCAAGAGAAATCAAAAGACAGAGTCGAGGAGATCGGAAGAGTATATTTGGCGATGACCAATATATCGGAATTCTCTGATCTAATCTGGCTAGCGATTGTGGTTGATGTTGAGCACGGCGTTACTACACGTGATCTGGTGCGGATGCCTGACCGAGCGCCTTCAGCTAGATGAGTCCACTAAAACATATGGTCAGCATCCAATGTCGAAAACTTACAGAGCTATTTATTTTAGGGATTTATTTACCGCTACAGATCACTCCCCCCCTAGTGGGGCAGTGACGACCCTAAGACGTGGCCAGCCAGAAGTTTAAACCCAACGAGTTTGTCGTTGGTAAACACTCTTCTGATAGCTTACTAAATTTAGCAGCGTCTGGTCGTCTTTCCTTACTATATGGGACGGAGGTACAACATAGTAAAAAAAGAAAATGTACAATGAAAATTTCGGATCCTCATAAACGTCATCGTTCTTTTCCTGGAAAAGAAAAAAAAGTAAGTGCATGTCGAAAATACACTCGTATATGCGTAAAAACACAATGTCGGCGGAAAAAAAAAGGAAAATAAACTCATGAGCACGTAATAGCGTTAAAAAATTGTTTTTTTTTGTTTTTTTTTAATAGAAATAAAAATATATAAGCATATTAAAATTTTTTTTTAAAATAATATAAAATGTCGAGAAGTGCCTTACGTGCAATAGTCGTTTAAATGTTCTGGAAATCTCACCCTTCTTCCAGAACGCGTCGTTTTAAGTTTATTTTCGGATACTGTCGAAGTATCTTCGCGTGTGTTGGTTGTCGGATGAGGTATTATTAGTGTCTGAGTCGTGTCGTTCGATTGTACCGAAGGAAAATCGACGTGGATAGGATTTCCTTCTAAATACGCTGCTTTTAAGCGATCGATGCTGATGCTATCGTTGGTTCCGTTCTTATCGACTATATAGTACTTAGATTCACGTTGAAGAACTTTGAAGGGTCCTTCGTATGCTGATTCGAATGGTCGTCGATGCGAGTCTCGACGAATGAAAACGTGTGTACTATATCGTAAGTCAGGTTGAACGAAAACATCAGTTGATTGAGGTCGAGTGGAAGCAGGTTTAACTGAACGCATTGCGTTTGTAAGCCTGTTCGTGTAGGAGGTTAGATCCATGTTCATCGAAGAGCACGAAGGATCCACGAATTCTCCTGGAAGTCGAAGTGTCGTTCCATAAACGAGTTGAGCCGCAGTGTATCCAATGTCAGCTTTCACTGCATTGCGGATACCTAGTAAGACGAGTGGAAGAGCGTCGGTCCATTGTGAAACGTTTGCAGCTGATAGCGAAGCTTTCAGTTGTCGGTGAAAACGTTCTACCAACCCGTTTGCTTGTGGATGGTAGGCGGTCGTTCGGAAGCGAGTGATTCCTAAAAGTGTGGTCAGACGACGGAAAAGATCAGATTCAAACTGACGTCCGCGGTCTGTAGTGATGGTTGAAGGGCAACCGAAGTTTGCTACCCATCGTTCGACGAATGTGCGGGCCACTGTTTCAGCAGTGCTGTCCTTGATAGGTACTGCTTCTGGCCATCGAGTGAAACGGTCTACGCAGGTTAAGAGATAAGAGTATCCATTTGAATCTGGTAAAGGTCCTACCAAATCCAGATGAACATGGTCGAAACGAGCATCGGGAGTTTTAAACGAGCCTAAGGGACATTTATTGTGTCTGATAACCTTAGATTTTTGGCAGCTTACACAGGAGCGTGCCCACTCCCTCACGTCTTTATTCATGCCAGGCCAGCAAAATCGTTCTGCTATAAGCTTGATGGTTGCACGAACACCTGGATGAGAAAGTTTGTGCAATGTGTTGAAGACATTGCGTCGATAATGTTTCGGCACGATTGGGCGATCCCTACCTGTAGATGTGTCACAAAGTAAGGTTTCCTTACCTGTTCCCATCTGTTTGATGCGTAGTTTAAGTGTTGTGGACGATAACTCGTGCTGAAGATCACTGTCTTCTTTTTGAAGCTCGGCGAGTTTAAGAAGGTCGATTCCTTGGAAACTGTTCAAGGAAGTTATACGAGATAAAGCGTCTGCAACTACATTGTTTGCTCCAGAGATGTGTTGAATATCTGAAGTAAACTGCGAAATGTAGTCCAGTTGTCGAGACTCACGGGGAGAGTACTTGTCAGAAGGAGAGCTTAACGAGAAAGTGAGCGGTTTATGGTCCGTGAAAAGAGTGAATTCACGGCCTTCGATATAGTGTTGGAAATGCCGTACAGCACAATACATAGCTAGGAGTTCCCTACCGAATGTGCTGTACCTCGATTCGGTGTCTAGCAACCTTCTAGAGAAAAATGCCAAGGGTTGCCAGGAGTTGTTAACCCATTGTTGTAAGACTCCTCCGATTGCTGAGTCGGATGCGTCTACTGCGATGCTAATGGGTGCTCGGGTGTCCTGATGTGCGAGCATTGTTGCTTTAGCAATCAGTTCCTTAACTGTGGAGAATGCTTTTCGTGCGGTGTCGTCCAAATTAATGGATTTCGCATTTCCACGAAGTTGGTCGGTCAGAGGTTTCATAAGTGATGCGCATTTGGGTATGAAACGTCTATAGAAACTTACCAGGCCGTTGAACGTGCGTAATTGCTTGACGGTGGTCGGTTCTGGGTAATCCAGAATGGCCGCCACTTTGGTTCTAAGGGGTCGGATACCTTGAGCATCGATAGTGTGTCCCAGAAAGTCTAACGAGTCGGTTCCAAATTGGCATTTCTGAACGTTTACAGTTATGCCATGTTTTTGTAATCGTTCGAAAACAAGGTCCAGATGCTTGAGATGTGTTTCTCTGTCCGGACTTGCGATTAGACAGTCGTCAACATACGCGTGTACGAAGTTGAGACCTCGAAAAACGTCGTCTATGAATCTTTGGAATGTTTGAGCAGCATTCCTTAGACCGAAAGGCATTCGCAAAAATTCATAGAGTCCGAAGGGAGTTATGATAGCTGTTTTCGGTATGTCGTCAGTAGCCATAGGGATTTGGTTATACGCTTTAACCAAGTCGATTTTCGAAAAGACAGTTGTACCTTTCAAGGTAGCTGTCAAATCGTGAATGTGAGGCAACGGGTAACGATCGGGAATGGTTTTCGCGTTCAATCGCCGATAGTCACCAGTTGGACGCCAATCGTTGCTGTCCTTTTTAGGGACCATGTGCAACGGAGATGCATATGGGCTACTTGACGGTCGTATGATTCCTAAGTCCATCATGTGATCGAATTCGTTTTTCGCTAACCTTAGCTTTTCAGGAGCTAGTCGTCGTGCTTTAGAGAATACAGGTGGTCCTGTAGTCGTGATGTGATGTGTAACATTGCTGGTTACACACGGTAGTTTCGGTTGAGTTTGTTGTATCCCAGGGTACTTATCGAGTAGTGGTTGATAGAGTGGGTCTATCATATGTTTAACTGTGACTGGGGATACTCTACAACCAGTAAAAGAAGTTACGCAAACGGACAAATTAGTGTTTCCGTCTACTAGCCTCCGTTTGCGAGTGTCGATGATCAGATTGTGGTGTTGTAGAAGGTCCATACCAATGATTGGCATAGAAACATCTGCAACGACGAAAATCCAGTGGATGGGTTTGCGTAAACCCACGTTAAGGTAAACGTACCTTTTGCCATACGTAGCGATCGGTTTTCCGTTTGCCGCCTGTAAGTTTAGGGTCGATTCGTGAAGTCGGTCGTTAGGATTTGCTGGGAGAACGCTAACTTCTGCGCCAGTGTCGACGAGGTAGCGAACTCTCGTTGTCACATCTGTGACGAATAACAGACGGCTTTGTTCGCCGGCTACGGTTGCCGTTAACGCGTGCCGGCTTGGAAGTTTCCCGAATCAGTCAGTCGGTTTCGTGTTGGGAAAATTGCAGGGTTTTCTGCAATTTCTGGAAAACTTTCCATACTGGTTATGATACCAGCACCAGTCGGGGTTATCTGTCTCTCGTGGTCTAGAGACAGATCGCTTACGAGAAATGCTTCTACGTGGTGTGCGCGATCTCTTACGGTCGGTACGAAGACTAAGATAACGCGTGAGTGTGTGACATAAGTCGGTTATGTCATTCTGAGTCGTGTGAGGCTTTTCTTTGACTGAAAATACCTCGGTAGTAGAAGGTTTCGTAATTTCTAGAATGCGGTCGGCAGATGCAGCTAGTTCGTCTAAGGCGTTGTTCTGGAACGAGACCAGAACTGCTTGCACCTGTTGGGGAAGTTTTGACAAGAAGAGTTGTTTGAATAGACCTTCGTCGAAAGTTCTTGGGCCTATAACCTCTCTCATCCGTTGCAACATGTCCGTCGCAGAACCGTGTTGCAGGTCGATATTGTTGAAGAGTTGATCTAACCTTTGTCGATCGGTTAGGTCTCCTCGTTTAAGAATCGAGCGTTTTAAGATTTCGTAAGGATCGGAAACATCACTAGTAAACATACTAGGTGTTACGTACCTGTTGAATTCGCGCGGTAGTGCCTTGACTACTGCGAGGAATTGTGCACGTGTGTCGATCACGCCGTGCTCGGAAAAGTCGGCTTCTGCGTAGCAAAACCAGGCTTCGATGTTGTCGGGCCAGAAAGGCATCAGTTGAAACGAAGGTGGGG